TGGGCCCAAGCCCAACGGCTAAAAGGGCCCAACGGCTTTATAACGTTCACTTTTTAAAATAAAAAAAATAAAATAAAAATTAAATTGACCGTTGAACCGGACCGGAACCGGTTCTTACCGAACCGGATAAAAATCCGGGTTCCGTTTCAGTACCGGTTCCGGTACCTATAAGACCGGTTCAACCGGTACCGGACAAAAACCGGTCCAATTGCCAGCCTTAGGAGGGAGTAGATCTGAAAGAGTAGTAGCATAATCACTTAATATAGCTGAACTATAAATTTTACTAATGGGATAGAAGGCTCTTAAACTATTTTAGTTAATGCATAGAAGGCATTTATGAAATATGGGTTCCAGCTTTCAGGTTCGACTTGTTTGCTGCCTACGGTCATCACATCAAACTTTTCAGCCAAAAGAACCTCTAGAAGTAAAATCTCTAGCTCAAATGGCTTATTAAATGTTTTTATTTTATGTAAGATATTATCCCAAATATTAAAAGGGAACAAAGAAAAGGGAAATAAATGCAAATCATACTTTCCTCTACTTTTTCTTCCTTTTATTTTGTGAAGATTTAATTGATCTTCAGCTAAATGTCATAAATTCCATTGCGTGAGCTAGACATTTGACTTTCCAAAGGTTGTTTTAATCAGAAAATTATTATATATGGAGGCTAGTGCTAAGCAAGAAAAATTTGGAGGACCTAATGGTTGGATATACTTATTTAAGGAATAACTGGGTTTTTGGGAATAGTGAAGACCTTTCTTGCCATTGGCTCATATTGCCTGTGAAGCTCGCCAGAAAAGATTAGTTTCTCTTATTTTGATTTAATCAACCGGTTAGAAAAAATAGAGAAGGTTAACCCAAAGGATGATGAGTATGTTCTTAAGAGTGATCAGTGGTAGCTGAAAAGTTTGCAATTTCATATGATGTATCTGGTGACAATTTTGTTCAAGGCTTTTTATTAGGGTTTTCCGTTGGAATGCTCTAAGGTTTTGTGGAATAATATATCATTGAACTTTGTAGTTCTTTCTTTTGGAAGTTGATCACCTTTTTAATGGATGACTTGTAGGGTTATAGCGTGAAGCATTTATGCTACATTTCGGTTGTTTAATCAGAGTGCGGCTAATATGGTTTTGGCAGGTGTCAGATGAAGGTGATGTCCTGTATGTATTTCCTAAGGATTATCGTTCAAATCTCACAGCTAAATCATTTAGGATGAAGATTGAGCCTTTGCTGGAGAAAGCAAAGGTATTAATTCTATTTTATTGGTGATGTCAGTATGTGTTTTTGGGAATAGGTCTACCCGTAAATACTTATCTTCCGAGGGAATCTCAATATTTTGCAGCTTGCAGGTGAATACTTAGTGAGGGTTTCCTTTGGTACAACACTAATTGCTTCGATTGTCATTGTCTATACAACCATAATTGCTATCCTCTCTAGTAGAAGGTATCTGTTGACATTAGAAGTCTTGGAAGCATTTTGTACCTACTTTTGCTTGAGATACTTATTTTTCTCAAATTCACATTTCCCCTTGAGGCCTGTTTTGAAAGTCACCTTATAATTGGAATTGAGTGTAATTATACAATTTTGGCATGTTTGTTTGACATTGAGGGGGTAGTAATTACATTCTTCAATAGTTGAGAATTGCTGGTTTATATGGTGTAATTACAAGGTTACTTTTCCGTATTTGTTTAATTTATATTTTTTTTCAATTTTTAAATTTATATTTAAATTTTTACTTTTTAATGTAATATTCTTTTTACGTAATTTATTTTTTATTTCTTTACTTCTTACTTTCAAACCCTTACTCCATATGTTTCGATGTAATTTCTCATATTTTCTTTCTTTCTTTCTTATTTTTTTCTCCTTCATTTTGCTTATTTGTGTTATTATTCTGATTGTTTAAAATTACACCTCCTAATTGTAGAAAGAATGAGTCATCTACAAACTTGGCTTATAATGAGTGATGTCATTAAAGTTGGATTTGTCACTAAAGTTGGATTTCCTTATTGAATGAGGTTAGAGGCAAACTTGACTCATACTGAGTGATGTAAGAATTCATATATTATCTTTTATGAAACATTTGAAAATGTTATAAAATTATGGCTACAATATTGATTTTTTGTCAAACATGCATCCTCACAATTGACTCATACTGAGAGATGTAAGAATTCATATATTATTTTTTTTATCAAACATTTGAAAATGTTATAAAATTATGGCTGTAATATTCATTTTTTTGTCAAACATTCATCCCCACTATGTTTTGCAAACTCTGTGTTTGGTTAAATTTTTTATTAATTAATTCAACTATAATATTGTTTTCTTGAAAACCAAATACTATCAATTATATTTTACAATATTTAGTTACAAATCTACACTTATTTAATGCTACATTTTAAAAAATAAATATATATTTTGAATACCTACTAATATATATGATTTAGCAATATTTCTTATATAGACACATGTTTATCAAACATTAACGTCTAGTTTTTGATAATTAATTTTATTTAAAAGTTTAAAAGATCTAACTATGTAATTACTCTTGGGCAACCAAACACTACGTTTGTAATTTCACAGTAATTACGTTATGACAAACAAATAGATATTCACAATTACTATTTTGTGTAATTACTAGGCTATGTCATTACTAGGATAGTAATTACACCAAATCCAATTACAAGGTGGCTTTCCAAACTATTAGTTTTGGGCCATTTGTTTGACATTTGCTTTCTTTACAGTGAAGAAGACAATCGGGGAAGACGAGGCAGATCTTATGACAGCGGTTTCTCATTTTACTTCAGCCCAACCGATTTATTCTGGTAATTATAATTTGATCCATTGTTGAGGAAAGAGCAATGTCGCTCTAGTGCAATTTTGCTTACCTTTGTTTGCTTCTTGAAATTTATTAAGGGCCTCACTTATGACCTCTTTTGTGCATTCATGTTCTTATATTTTGACTGATTTCATAGTTTTCTTATTATGTTTATTTATTGTAACAACATGAGAACATTAAATTTAGAGATAATTGAGTGTTTTCTTTTCCTTTATTTGATGTTAACTTATTTCCCCATCTGAGTCAACATTTATTTTTATGATGCATTTTTGTTAGTTTGGCTGCGACCTAAGTCCTCAAAGAGTCAGGTTCTTTGAGCAACTATGCAAGAAGGTAAATTGAAGAATAGTAAATCAACACAAGTATTTAGCTTGGAGAACTTCTTGCTCAAGGGAGACAAAAACTACACCCACCTATGTAGGATTTACTCAATCTCTTCCGCTAAAATCGACCCAAATTTAAGGTTTACAACTGCCCTTGTAACACCTAAGAAATTGTTCCCAACAATCTCAACCTTTACCTCTCAACTCTTCTCTTCAATGACTCTACCCTATCAATAAAGTCCCTTACAAACACTAAGCAACACCTACTAGAATCAACTATAAAAGTAATCAAGGTATTGTCTTGAACCAACACAAAGAAACTAATTATTACACTCAAAAACTGTATGGATAAATTTTGATAGGAACAGATTCTTTTGTTGTAGCAACAACTTTTTCTTCTAGACTTTGTGTGTAGAACTCTTCTCACATTGACACCTCTCTCTTCGGGTGTAGTCAAACTCCAAAGCATTAAGTTGTGCTGTTTATATAAGAGTAAATAGCTGCCTTTTAGTTTTCCAATCCAAACACGAATAGGTTCAAGACTTTCAGTTTTCCAAGCCAAATCAGTCGTTTGGGCTCCTACTACATTACCTGCAAGTTTAATGGGAGGACCCAGGATTTCAGTTGGCATCTCATTGGTGTTACGCTCCAAATGCTAGGAAGGAAATAGAAAAGGTATGATGGGGAATTGGATCAACAAGGAGTTTGCTTGAAGGGCCTTCGGTGGTTGTGGGGACTTTTAACATTGTTAGAGGTTTCTTGAGAGAAAAAGAATTGATTTAGATACAATAAAGCAATGTCCGACTTCTCAGATTTTATAAATTACATGGAGCTGGTGGATCTACAATTAACAGTAGGGAAGTTCACTTCGAATAAAGGGGATAGACATGTCATAGACGCAAGACTGGACATGTTCTTAATTTTAGAGGAGTGGGATGAAGGCTTCTGAAATATCAGGCAATTTGTTGTGCACAAAGTTACTTCAAATCACTCTCCTTTGATGCTACAATGTGGTGATTAGGATCCAGTTAGACCTTATTTGTTTTCATTAAGATTTAAACGTTTGAATCTGAATGCACATATGAACGATTAAGATGTTGTCTCTTGATCTAAACACGGAATAATTAAGACGGTTTGTTTTTCAAAATTTGAATGTACATAATAAATATACAATTCAAATAAAAATTAATATAATAAAATTATTATTTGATACAAAAAAAAAAATGAAACACTTATGCGTACTAGTGATGGTAGAGATAGTTTGTAGTGGTGGTTGTGATGGTAATTGTTGTTAATGACTAGTAATGATGGTGGTGATAATTGTGACGGTGGAGGTGGTTGGTGTTGTGGTGATTGGTAGTGGTGTTGGTGGTTGTAATGATGAAGTCGGTTGATGTTAGTAGTTGGTGGTGGTGGCGGAAGAATGTGTGGTTGTAGTAGTTGGTGATGGTGCTAATTATGATGATGGAGGTGGTTGGCAGTAGAAATTGACCACAATAGTTGTAGACTTGTAGTGACGGATAGTAGTGGTGGAGGTGGAGGTGGGTGGTGGTAGTTGGCGGTGGTGTAGTTTGTTGGTAGTGGGAACTGACTGTAGTGGTGGTCCTGACTTGATAGTAGTGGTAGAGGTGGTGGTGGCGACAATGGATATAATTATAATGATGGAGGAGGTAAGTGTGATAGAAGTTGATAGTAGTGTTAAGCAATGGTGGTGGTTGTGATGGCAGAGATGGTTGGTGGTAGACGACAATAATGGTGGCTGATAATGATGGTGGTGGTTGTGATAGAAGAGGTGGTTGTGATGGCAAAGGTGGTTAGTGGTGGTGGCTGATGATTGTGAATAGAGTGATGGTGAATATTATCCACACAAGAATACCTCTTAATAATATTAAGACTTTGTTCTAGATCTTAATGATTAAGACCTATTCAGACCTATTAAATGCTTAAATCGTAATGAAAACAAATACACTTAATGGTTTAATGTCTAAACCATTCAGATTCAGACCCCATTAAGTGCAAACAAATGAGACCTTAAATCCTATTTCGAATTTGAGAACTGGTGGTAGAGACACAGGGGTTTAATGAAAGAGTTAAGAACGCGTAGGATTCCCTTGTTTGTGGTGGAAGTCCAGACCGCATTTTAGCCTACAAATTGAAAGCTTTGTAGGATAAACTAAAAGAATGGAGCAGGACAATCCATGGAAACTTGGGTTTGCAGAAACAAAATATTCTTAATCAACTTGCAGAACTGGATGAAATTTCGGATCATAGGAATTTATCTGAGGTAGAGTTAGCCACAAAGGCTGCTTTATCTATGAAGTTTGAGGAGATAGCTAAGCATGAGGAGGTGGCATAGAGGTGAAGATTCAGGGCTCTATGGCTGAAACAAGGGGATAGAAAACACAGTTTCTCCATAGAACATCAAATGCTCACAGAAGATATAACTCTATTGACCAACTTTTTTTCTGATAACCACAACTCTATTAACCAACCTTCTTTAGAAGGGGATATTTTGGTGAATCCTGAAGACATCAAGAGAGAGATAGTAACATACTATGATACAGAAACAGAGGAATGGAGACCACAATGTAATCTAAGGGTATGCCCATGGTATCACGAGATGATAATTTGATACTACTACACCACTTTGAACCTCAGGAAATATGGGACAATATCAAAGTATGCGCAGGAGATAAGGCCCCGACCTTGATGGATTTTCAATGACCTTCTTTATTCAATGTGGGGTAACTGATATGCATTCTATTTCAGATGACTTTTGAAAGACGATGGATCAATCGAAATAAATTCTAGATCAGTCAATGAAGTTCTCAAAGGATTGAGGCAGGGAGATCCACTGTCTCCCTTCCTCTTCATTTTAGCAATGGAAGAACTGAATGATATGCTGAAGACAGCAGAAGCTAATGAGTAGATCAGGAGTTTCAAGGTGAACACTAGGCGAAGCAACAATAAGGAGATCTCTCATCCGCAATATGTAGATGATTTCAATTAACAATGCTTAGGGTGATCTTTATTCCAATTGAAGCATCTCTGGTTTGAATGTAAACTGTCTCAAAAGCGATGTCTACCCAATCAATGAGGTAACTGATATACATAGACTGACTGAAAACCTAAGTGGAAGGATAGGAGAATTATCAAAAGTATACTTGGGAATGCCACTAGGAGCCAAAAGCATGTTTAAAGGTATATCATATACCTTTAGTCTTATATGTAATGGTTAATAGGAAACTGTAAGAAGAAATTGACTAGCTGGAAGAGTCAATACTTAGTGTGCTTGATGCTTTGCCTACTTATATGATGCTTATATTTCCAATGCCTGCAAACGTGAGAAAAATAATTAATGCACTAAGAAGGAATTTCCTTTGGAAAGGAAACAGTGAGAAAAATAAGATACATATGGTTAACTGAAGCACTCTAACAACAACGTATCCAGTGAAATCCCACAAGTGAGGTCTGGGGTGAAGCACTCTGACAGTTACCAAAAAGAAATGAGGTTGGGCAATTAGAGACCAGAAGATCCGGAATAAAAGCCTGGTGTTGCAGTGGTTGTGGAGCTTGCTCTAGATGAGAACTCACTGTTGAAAGAGGTGACTAAAACCAAGTATGGGATGAGAGGTAATTCGACAACAAATCCTGTGAACACTTTTTATGGGGTGGGATCTGTGTGTGGAGATCCATAAGGAACCTTTGGTCATTAATCAGAAACAAAGCAATATATAAACAAGGTAATGGGATGAAGATCTCATTATGGGTAGACAAGTGATTAGTCCAAGGCTCTTTGAAGCAGCTATTCCAGATATCTACAATCTCTGTTATGTACTGCAAAATAAGAGTTTCCCTTTGAGTTTGGGCAAGACCCTGTGAAGATAACTGTGGTGAAAATATAAGACAATTAGAATCTCAAAAGGGGAAGAAGATACTTAATTGAGTTAATCTAAATAAAAGGAACATTATTTATTTGAAAACAGTACAATAATAGCACCAAGATGGTTGGTTTCGTCCTTTCCTTTTACCTGATTGATCAGTGACCATGACAGCTAGCCTAATACCATAAAAGTACTATCTTTTGCTCTTAGGTATTACAGGCAAGAAATATTACTGCTTCTGTTTTAGGGAAGAAATATACTTATTTTCACATTTTAATGTTCTAACCTAGCAACCGTGATACATGTTCAATGGGGTAACTTTATCATGAACCATATATGGGTGAACCTTAGGGTTCTTTTTTCCATTTTGAAATATTATGCACCATGGCTAAAAGCTTCATGAAATCCACGGGCACCTTTCTAATCTAGTTAACTTCTGTCAGGTATTGGGATCCATACTATTATAGGAGACGACGAGTTCGCAAAGAAAGTGGTGGGATGAACTTCATTGAATCTGTATGTGGTAAAAGGAATTAGAGCAGATGCTTTTATATTTGCGTCTGAGTCTTTCATAACTAACGGTTGTTAAATTTGCAGGTTTTCTCCTTTGTATTTGGTGATGGTGATCCAAATCAAGAGATTGAAGAGGAGAGGTGGAAGTTGGTAATAATTGAGCACTGAATTTAGCGGTCCGTTGCTTTTTTTTTTTCTTTTTTCTGTGGTGGGGGGTGGGCTGGGGCATGTGAATAATGAGAAAGGGAAGTAGAAGAGGATACCATTCGGTGGGATTACATTTTACTCATTCTGGATAGAATTGCAACCACTAAGCTACAACTCCAAGTCAAGTAGTCTATTATTTAAATTACTTATTCCTGGCATTCTGATAATTTTTCTACTTGTCTTTTCCTCTTCTCTTTCCTGCTTCTGGTAACTCTCTGATTTTGCTTTTTGGTCGGGGTTAATCTCTACCCACATAAAATGGCACAACATATTGAAATGTTCTCTTTTAGTTGTTCTGCATTACAGCAGCTTTCATCCACAATAAGTGTTCTGGTTGTTTCACTACAATCTTTTCTTTGTAGTTACAAACTTTCCCTTATCTAGATGTCTTTTTGATACCCCAGGACATCTCTATAGTTACTTTGTCTGGATAAAGGGGTAGGTATCCCAGATGAAGTGACCCTTGCTTCAATCTTTTAGTATGTATCATATAGATGACTAAGAGATTGTAGTCATACTCTTGTATCTAAGTTTAGTGAGAAATGATTCGATGGAAGGGATGTTTGATTGTTTATTTTTTTGATAGAGGAGAGGTGTAAATGCCAATGCTCTCATAGTCGCATGTAGCTACTTGGTTATTTGAGCAATGAATCGAAGAGAGTGAGGTACAATTTAGCGTGGTGGCTAGTTGGGATTTTCTGTGCTTAATGTTAACTTTGTTGGTAGGTAAAGAGCAACTATTATTGATATACCAACAAAAAGAGAATGCTTGGAAAGACTTAGGGCATGTTTGGATGGGCTTATAAAAAGTAACTTATAAGTCAAAAGTTATAAGTAGATGGTACTCTACTTTTGACTTTTGACTTATTTTAAAACTTTTGGCCCTAAAAGTAGGTGGTTAAAAGCACTTTATAACCTTTCCAAACATCTCTAAAACTAAAAAACTACTCGAAATTCAAAAACACCTAAAAATAAGTTAATTCAAAGGGGCACTTAATGTTAACTTCTTCTTTATTCAGGACCGGGGATGAAAGTTGCATACATGAGGATGTTGTGATCAATGTGTGGGCATACTAGAAGGGATAGGATTAGAAAATGAGGATATCCAGAATAAGGTGGGAGTGGCTTCATTGGAGGATAAGATACGCGAAGCGAGACCGAGATTGTTTGAGCATGTGAAGAGGAGATGCTCGGATGCCCTAGTCCAAGGTGTGAGAGGTTGACTATGAATGGTTTCAGGATAGGTAGAGGTAGGCTGAAGAAGTGTTGGGGGGAGACGCGATTAGACATGACATGACACAATTTCAGCTTACCGAGATAGGAGGTTATGGAGGACACTAATTAGGGTAGATGGTTAGTAGGTAGTAGTGCATTGTCTTGTTATCCGTCCATACTAGTAGTCGTAGCATTGCTATTGTAGTTTCATTTTCTTCGATTTCTGTTACTATTTGTTGTTTCTTGTACTTTGTCTATCGTAATGTTTTGTTGTAGTAACTGTTCCAAATGCTTTGTTATGCTTTTTCTTTCATTACTTTGTTTTGGAATTCTTTGGATTATTTTTCCTTGAGCCGAGGGTCTATCGGAAAAACCTTTCTGCCTCTGAGGTAGGGGTAAGGTATGCGTACACTCTACCCTCCCCATGCCTTACTTTGTGGGACTACACTGGGTATATAGTTGTTGCATGTACGGACAGAGAAATCATATCATAGATGTTCTGATGCCTTCACAAATTCAAGTTACTCCTTGAAGGTTAGATGTTTTGTTAGTCATTTTAGTTGGCTTAACCTTTACCCTGTAAATAACACTGATCTTTGTTTGGAGTTTGTCAGCTCCTTAGTGTTATTGAATCTCTCCTTTGTTACGTTTGCATCTGTTGATGCTTTTTAGTGACATCTACGTCATAAAAAAAAAGTTCAATGTATGTGCTGTCACTAACTTTTACAATTTCTTATGTTATAATCAGATATTTCTAGGAACATATAATAATTACCATTGTTTAAAAACTTTTGCAGGTAGGGCAGTATATATCATCAAATGGTGGCGTTGTTGCTGCTGAAGAACTTGCTCCTTTTCTTGATGTGGAGACTCCTAATAAAACGGTACTTGATGGGTCTTACACGACCCATATGTTGGATTTGTTGTCCATTATCTTTTTGCTTTGTCTTTCCCCTTCCACAGCAGTAATGTGCTATAATTTTTGTTCCAATGGCCTTTTCAGGAAAACTATTTTTAAATCCATTGAACATTTTGAGTACTTAGTTATTTGGTAATCCTGAGAGTCCATGTTTTGCGTTTCAGTTATACTTGATATCTTGTTGATTGTTCATCTTGCTTTAATTTGGTGCTTATTTACACTTCGTTATCTTACTCCTGTTCTGAGAATTGACTTTTGAATTACCTGTGGGTTCTCTGACAGGATGATGAGTCATACATCCTTCCGGTGCTTTTGCGGTTTGATGGTCAGCCAGAAGTAGATGAGGAAGTATGTGAAAGCTTTATTAATGATATATTTTTGTTTGAATTCTTCCTTCGGATTAGTATGGTTGATGCCTTTTTCTGTGCACGTGGCTTTGGAAAAGGATTTGGTGTCTTCCATAGTGCAACCTTGACTTCAAGAAAATTTTGAGAATCAATTTTAGCTTCTGAAACAGCCTCTCTACCTCACACAAGGTAGGGGTAAGGTCTACATACACCCACCCCTCCCCAGACCCCACATATGGAGTCAGACTGGATATGTTGCTGTTGAAATCTCTAATGTCATTTTCTGAAACCTTGTTCTGGGCGACAGACATCAGAAGTTATTAAACTTTTGGTCCATCAATTCTCCTCACTTCAATTAACCCCATTACTGACACTCTTGCCTTTGCCAGCCATTTCATTTAGACTCCTCACCCTGATTCCTGAAATCTTCAACATGTATCGTACTTGTGTTGATTAGTTTTTTTTTTTTTTATGACATGGGAAACCAGCCGCCGCTACCCTTTGGGAGCGCACAGGGTAAAACCCCCGCTCCTATGCAATAGTTCGCAAACCACATAGGAGAGGTAACCCGCACTAGGCAAGCCCGGTGCGACGAGCTCGACCCAAAAGGCAAACTTGATTAGTTATTTTATGGATATTGTAATTGTATTAATAGTTCAAAATAATCTAAAGAATCTGTAAAAAGTTTTAACATACTAATCTCAATTTCACACCTGAGCTCTGTTTGTAGTTAACTCATATGTCGAGTTGTTTGAGAGAGCATTAATTATCATATTTTGACCCTAAGAGGATATCTGAAAAGGTCAAATATATCGTCCAAGCTTTGAACAGAGCCAAGTCTTTTTTCCTAATCTATAAATTTGGATAACAAAGCTCAAGATACGGGATAAAGTAGTCATTTCTATGTTTTTATTAAATTTCATCAGGATTTAGACATCAACAATGTAAATGAAATTAGGAGTTGAACTTAAAGAAACAAGGGATATGAAAGAGTTTCATTGTTATATTATGCAAGACGATGTAAACTTCTGTCTCATTTGGGCTTCCTTTTTCTTTCTCAATATCTGTTGAAAGGTTGTTTCTGCATTCTAGTACAAAGAGCACAGATCACTGCGTAAATGAGTTTTTCTCCTCTTGAATAAATTTCAACTTTAAGGGCTCAGAAAATTTAGAAGTAATGGTTGATTTGAGCTGTTGTGTATATTATTGGTGTCATTGACTTTTGTGTACAAGTGTGGTGCCAAAATTTAAATATCTTTATAGTGTCCTACGGGAGTTAACAGCATGGGGTGCTGTGGTAAAAGTGATATAAAGGGTTACTAAGGCAAACATAATAGTTTATAAGAGACTGTATGCATAAATACATGGTTGTTGAGGGGTTTTTGATGTCTCATTCTCTCGTTAGACGCCCAAAGATCTCTTTACAGAAAAATTCTCACATTCTTGTTCTATATAAATTGTTTGTTCCAGGGAAATATCCTGTACCGATTTCCATCACTTCAGCGTACAGCTGCTCCACAAAGGAGTGGAAGGAAGGAGTATGTAGGAAAAAGATGGACTGACTGGGTTGGACAGGTTGAAAGATTTCTTCAAGAGAAGAAGTGGCAATTTAGGTATCATTTGTCTTAACTGCTGGTAAATTTGGATTTCTTACTTGTGGATTTGAGTTCTCAACCATGAGTGTTTACAATGCAGTAAAACAAGCTCATCGGAAAGGGCATTGGTCATTGGATTGGGTGGGCTCAATTTGTTTGGAGTCATTGTTCTTGGTACCATGTTGAAGTAAGGATCTCCATGTGGTGCTTTAGACTTCTTAACTTTTGCTTCTATATATTTTCACGATCCGAAATTCCACAAGGATCTGTGACCAGCACCCGGCAACCCCTAACCGAGTGAACCATCCCTTTAAGCATTTCCATAAACATTCTAAGCATAAAAACTACAATTTAATGATAAGGAATTCTAAATATCATAGCCCAAAAGATGATCAAATCCAAAGTATATAGCTGAATCCATAAGTCTAAACCCAACAACAGTCAAAGGAGAATCTCAGAATCAAGTGGGACGCAACCTGACAATACTGAGTAGAAGTAAATAAATTAAAACATCTAGTCACCACAGGACTGGAGTGGTTGACTCACCGCTGGATCACAAATGCTGATCTGCTACACACTTGGTTCGATGGCACTCAGAACTATCACTGCATGGATGTAAGAGGTGAAAGAAGGATGAGTATGTAGAGTACTAAGTAAGTTTCATTGGACTGCCGTTGAAAGGGTTGTGGTGGAACTTACCAAAATAATCAATATAATATGATAAGTAAACCACCATTATAAAAAAAATTGACATGTAAACAACCCTTAGCAAAAAATATGACAAGTAAACCACACAACACAATATTTATTAACATAAACTGAAAATCATAATATAGTCAATCTTGACAATATATCAGACACGGTTAGGATAGTTGATAATATCTTTCAAAATACGCATATATATCAATATGGAACAAATGGAGGCGCAACCCGGGTACATCTCTCAAAAACCAAAACTGGCATAAGCAATGTGCATGAATATATATAGTATGCACATCAATCATTGAAGCATATAACATACCACACATATGTAAAAGTAACCATGCTTTAGCAACCCGATAGTATAACTTGGTTCTCGTATATATTTTTTTTAATAAGGTAACATACCCCAGTTCTTGTATATACATTTGTCACCTCGCATGTATGGAATCCCCAAATCCATCAAAAATACCAACAATTACACAATCTTATACTTTTTAAGGGGAAACCTCCTCTGTTAGGCCTTAACTTACCTCCATCCAAGCCAAGCTGTTGTTTTATGACCGTTTTTCCATGCGCAAGCTCCTCCAAATGACTGATCTATTTAGAGGAATTATTAACAACATTAGACAATCCATTGGACTTAACTCCATAATTTGAATGCGGGGAAAAATCAAAACCCCCGAATTAAATACATTTCTTGTCAGCCATAAGTCGTAGAGTCCAATTAGGTAATTAGATTTTGAATTGGAGTCCATTAATTCCCTCAATTCCCTAATTTCTATTTTAGGAGCCTTAGTCTTAAATCCCTACTTTCCACCATTAAATACCATGTTTTAATGGTTTAACTTCATATAAAAGTGTTGAGAAGTGGTCAAAGCTGATATAATGGCAACTATTAAGAAGTTCCATTCTCTGGAGTTTTCTCTAAAGTGCTTCAATGCTACATATGTGGCTCTTATCCCTAAAAAGAATAGAGCCGAGGAGTTAAAGGGACTTCGGAAGTTATCTTTAAATTTATATCCAAGTTACTCACTAAAAAGCTAAAAAGAGTGATACACAAACTGGTAGATGCATACCAGATGACCCTTATAAAAGGTAGACAAAACACATATGCTTTCCTAATTGCTAATGAAAGTACAGATTCCAATATCAAGGAGAAGATTCCTAGAATAATGTGCAAACTTGACATTGAGAAGGTATATGACCATGTGGACTGGACTTTCTATCACGTATTCTTCCTAAACTGGATTTTGGAAAGGAAATGGGTGAGTTGGATCAGATTTTGTGTTAGCACCATCAAGTTCTCCATCTTAATCAATGGTTATCCTACGGGTATTTTCCCCTCTCAAAGGGGATTGAGATAGGGTGACCCGTTCTCACCTTTTCTTTTCTATTCATACTAGCTAGGCCCCTAGGGAGTATTTGAACAATATGATCAAAATTGCTAATGGTAATGAATGAATTAGGGAGGTTGAATATAGCAAACAATCTTATTACCAGGTTGGAGGTAACTCACCTTCCGTATGCAGACGATACACTAATATTTTGTGTTGCAAATGAAAAGCCTAGTCTAAGTATTTAATAGTTATTTTGATCCTGTTTGAAGCTATCTTTGGGATACACATTAACCAAAGGAAGAGTTACATTTTTCTGGTTAATGAGGGGCAAACATGCAACAACTAACAAACACACTGGGAGGGAAGATTTGAACTATAATAATGGTTAGAAATTAGAATAGTAATAGGATTATATATATTGTCCCATGTGAAAAAGGATTGTAATGTAATGTATCCTAATAATATTTCTAGAGTCTCAAGAGAGGTTTTATAGAGAGACTTGGAGCAAAAAGATCCATTTGTGGCATACACTAAAGTGATTATGGACTTGTACGATGGTGTCAAGACCTGAGTGAGAACAATAGGAGGAGACTCCGAACATGTTTTTATTTGCCTTGTTGATGGATGAATTGAAAAGGCATATTCACGAGGAGGTGTCATGGTGTATGGCATTTGCAAAACATAGTATTGATTAACGAAACACATGGTGGAGATAACGATAGATGGGAGGTTTGGAGATAGACCCTAGAGTTAAAAGGCTTTAAGTTGAGAAAGACTAAGACAAAGTACACGGAGTGCAAGTTTAGTGACGCAACACATGAAATGGGTACAAAAGTGAGGATTGATTCACAAGTCATCCCCAAGAGAGGAAGCTTCAAGTATCTTGAGTTAATAATTCAAGGAAATGGGGAGATAGATGATGTGTTTTTACACTTCGTATTAGAGTGGGATGGATGAAATGAAAACTCGCATCATGTGTTAAGAAGGTCCCTCCAAGACATAAAGGTAAGTTTTATAGAGTAGTTGTTAGACTGTCTATGTTATTGGGGTAGAGTGTTGGCCTGCCAAAAACTAACACATTCATATAATGAATGTAGCGAAAATGAGGATGCTAGATGGGTGTGTGGGCATACTAGGAGAGAAAAATTAAGAATGATGGGGTAAACTAGGAGTGGCCTTAGAGGCAGACAAGATGCAGGAAACAAGGCTGAGATGGTTTGGGCATGTGAAAAGGAGGTGTACAGATGCCCCAATGATGAGGTGGGAGAGATTTGTAGTGATAGGTCTATGGAGAGGTAGATTGAGGAAGAATTGGGGAGAGGTAATTAGACATGACATAAACATATCCAACAAAAGACGGGGATTAGGATAACAAGTTAGTTGGTAGTTGAGTAATTTCTCCCCTTTGTAGGTGGGAGCATGTCCCTAAACGTCAACGAATTGTATTTGTAACAGCGAAGTACTTATATTGATTGAAATTGGAAAATGTAACTTGTGCGACTTGGCAAGTTGTCACGCATTACAAATATGATTGAAATTAAAACTTGAACAAGGTAAACCATACTTCCTAATAAGTCGATGAAGGACACGTTGGTGAGGATGCCCTAGCCGAATGTGCCAATCGGTAGAGGACGTTTTTGTTGAAAGAAAGGTGGAGGGAGACTATGAGGGACGACGCCTAGAGGTTCACTTGAGGGGAAATGAGTAGAGGTTGTCACTACTCTGACCCAAAACAAGGAAGTGTCGGGGATGCTTGATATTTTACATGATAATAAGAGGGATGAAATTCAAAAAATACGTTATTATCTCGTGCAAATATTTGAACCGAGAGTAGACGTTTTGTAATAGAAGGAACTTGAATATTTTTTGAGGAAAAGGGATTTCGAAGAGATAGATAGACTCAAATTAACAGTATGATGAATGTGGAGCCTTTGACAATCACAAACATGAACTTGATCCACGCCGCATTAGTCTTCCACTTGTTGTAGGCTAGTAAGATCGAGAGTAATGTTATAAGTAGCCAAATGTCAGGTAACCCTTGCGGATAATAAGGGCTTGAGCATGATGGGACAAGTATGTTGTAGGTTGATGGTGTGATTGTACCTCTAGAAACACTTTGGGGCTAGATGATTAAAATGGTTGTGAATTTGATGTCTTTGGCGTGAATCATTGGCAAACCACTATTGCCTTGTAGTTGAGCTGCCTCGATAGGAATTGGATCTCCCCCCCCCCCCCCCCCC